TGAACTGCAAAATGTTGAATAAATAAAATGGACTTTGGGCAAACATCCAACAAAAACATAGGTAAATTAGAAACGAAGTCGTTGTGAATGAAACACGGAAATTAATGTGAAAATTAAAAACTGCAATTTAATCTTAACACACAAAATGAAAATGGTACAAAAACACAAACAATCGCTATCTTGAATTTTTGTAAATGGCAACATAGGTAACGTGATACGTCATTAGAAAGTTTATTTTATTACAAATAGACTGAAATTATGACTTAACTATTTACATTACTTGTACGGGAATTGATATATCCAATCAAAAGGTATCCGTATACAGTTCACAAAAATTAAAATTTTAATTAACACAAATAACACTTTACACTAACGACATCGGGTAATCGCAACATCGTCTCCTCGGGTAGACAAGGGCGTTCACAATAAAACAACTCAACTTCAAACGTTGAAAACAAACTTAGGAAGCGCCGACAAACACCTCTCCTTGCAGCACCTTTGATAGCCAAAACTTAAAGACAATCCTCCAGCCGGTAAGACAAAAAATTATCAAAGTCCTCGTGTGAGTTCGAAGAGACTTCAGCGCATTTTTGTGGGGCAGATCAGTGTTTTATTAGCCAATATTGACTCCACCATCAGTAAGAACCTGTCGAAGGCCACCACATTCTCTTTGTCGGTATCCATTTCCGACGTCCCGTTCACCCGCAATTCGAGTTTGAAGTTTCGACTCCAAAATCAGTAATATCTCGTCGAGGGTTACCATATTCCCATAGCTCGAGCTTCTATTGGCGACACGAGAAAGAGAAACCGCGATTCGAGCTTTAAGGAACTTTTGGGCACCCAAAGTCGACTACCCCTCGAAGAGCGCGTACAAAAGGTGGTTTATTTCTCCCCTAGGAAAAAAACCAAAATTCCGCAGGTGTTGTGCGCGTTGACAAGATCTTTTCGACAACACCTATTTGAAAACAATCGGAGAAAAGGTGTAGAAGAAGATAGAAAAAAACTGAAAAATCTCCAGGTTAGTATAACACGCTCAGGGATAGCCCCCAAATGTCTCCGACCCCACATATTGTAGCGCCGTCCCTAAAGTCGTTAACTACACGGCCCGGATAGGTACCTGTACACTCCTCGTCTTTTTACAAGCGTTTTTCTACGGGCCCGCATTTACTGCCAGCCAGTCGGCCAGCCAGCTAGGCAAAATCAGATTAAAAGCTACCTTTTTACAAATAAATTTACAAAAGTGCGCTACAAAAAACTTCGGTGTTGTACTATACACGAACAAACGTAGAAAAATAATTAGCCCCAATTCGGCTTCTGACTTCACGAAACTTCTTCAATCTTTAATCTCACATTAAACGAAAACTTTCGATGCTGGCTGTATAATTCCGCTCTCAACGTGGTAAAAAGCCGAATTAAACATTTCAATGAAACGTAGTACTACGTAGACTGTGGCTGTGGCGACGCTTTTCTTGTTAACGCCCTATTTAAGACGATTCCCTTCTTCCCATAATAAAAATTACAACAACCAATTCTACAGTTTTATCTCCCTTAACTACACAGAAAAGGCGATAAATCACATAAACCTGTCTATTAAATTAAGCATTTACATTTGATAACAGATAAAGACCCAAAAATTAAAATACTTTCCAGCTGCTTCTGCATTGTTAAAGGAGACAAAACAAGGTCTCATGGGAGTAGCAGTCACATTTGCTCCAAATGTATGGAGGCTACGTCCACCAGACTGATTGCGAAAACAAACTTCCTGACGCCTGGTAAAGCATTGTATTTTGCATCGCCAGTGCTGGGAATGCAAACTTCAGTTACAGTTCACAGTTGGTTTTTGAAACTGATAGGACGCTAAATTTTAGTACTTTTGGAGACGTAGATGTATAGGGTGTATAAACTATAACTTACACCATCCAATAGACCAGTTTCTGGAAAGTTAACAAAACATATGCACGTCCATTTTGTATTGAAGGTGGATCAGCCTAAATCTCTCCTTTCAATTCCGATTACCAATGAATGATGGAACAATAGATCTTGTGACATTTGTGAAAGGTAGGTTTCCATTCCCCTCGAGCTTGCTCCCCAGAAGACAAGACAGAATGACAAGGGTCAGTTTTCTTAATCTCGGCCTTTCGGGTCAGATTTTCTAAACACACGTTTTGGATCAGGAACTAAGCTTCCTGAGGCGGATATACCGCGGTGCCAATACTTAGGGGTCAAGTTGGTATTCCAGTGCGGGGGCGTTTTTGGGGGTATCATTTATGGAGAATTTGTATCGTAACCAATATTGTCACAGAACGGGAATGGAAGCTGCAGCGGATAATTTTCCGTATCAGTTGGTATTCCGAAAGCAGGCCTGTAAACGGGCAAATATTCCGGAACAAATTCTCCGGGGACGAAGTGTATTGTGTAACTAATACCCTTGGGCGAATATTCCTGGATCTTTTTTAGTTTTTCCACAGCCTTTATCGATTCTGAAGGGAACCGTAAACAATTCCAGGCCTTCACTCCCTAAAGGACAAAACGCGCAGAAATCGTACTCCCATTTATAATACTAAAATAATCAATTCGATTACATATCAATATGTCACTGAAGCTAAACTCAATAACTCTCAAAATTTAAAGAAACTATCACTGGTACTATCCCTTCAAAAGGAATAGTCTACTAATTGGAAAACGTTTAATTGAATTAATTGAGTGACAGAACATAAATGACCCCTTGACCCAATTTAGTTAGACAGGGTTGTGACTTGCGTAACGCATCATAGGGATTTCAATGTAAAATTCATAACATGCGATTATTGGCTCCCCAAATTATTTTAGCGCAAAAATGTATTAAGGTTTTTTGTAGAAAAAATTTTTTTACGTCAATCATTTTCAATTTTTTGCATAATAAAGACGGAAAGTCGGAAAAATAAAAAGAGCAAATTACTTAAAACGGTTTCCTAATATAACAATTTACAATAAATGTTCGAATAAGTCACCATTAACTGCAAGAGCAAGACAGTAACCAAGTCGATCATAAAATCCATTTCGAACTGCTGCTAATTGATAACTGGATATCTTTTTGTTTTAGAAAATTCCATGGCATCGCAGATTATTGAAAAAGATGCGGGTTTTATTTTTCCAATTTTCCGTCTTTATTATGCAAAAAATTTTAAACTAATACGGTTGATTGACGTAAAAAATTTTTTTCTACAAAAAACCTTAATACATTTCTGCTCTAAAATAATTTGGGGAGCCAATAATCGCATGTTATGAATTTTACATTGAAATCCCTATGACGCGTTACGTAAGTCACCACCCTGTATATCCGCTACATGCGCTGTGTGTTACTGTTATCTCAGGAAAGGACACACGGCTACATTCTCGGAATTGACACACGCTGGACAGGTCAAAGTGCAATTGGACAGATATCAATGTTAATTAGCAACCGAAACCAAAAACAAAAACCCTGTAAATTAACCACATGTCAAATCCCTTCGGACACAGAAATTCAACATACCTCCAATTAATAAGAGGGTTGTTTAGGAATCAATTATGCTAATACGGCAACAATTATAACTTAAATCGGTTCAAACTAAAAAACACACAAGATAACAAGGAGGTTAAGGAAGATGCCGTATGAATTCACTTCAAATTCAAATTATAGTATCACACCAAATTAGGTTCATTGCCAGAAATAATACTTAAAAATTATGCAGTTTGACATTGAATTTTGCAAAAATTATACTACGACTGTTAAAAGTTGCCCATTTTTAAATGAAGTCTCAAGTAAAAAGAAAACGAAATGTGCATTAATAATGATGGAATTCTTTGATAAGCACCGTTTTGGTATGAATATAAATTTTTACGGGAGCATTATTTTTTCCTATAGTTGCTTATTGTACTTAAACAAGATATTGTTAGAAATATGAAAAGTTGGTAACAGTATATTTCACAAAATCCACAAAAAATTTTCAAAATAAGAGTACTCCCGACGAATTTGATTATTAAACTCGTTTAAGTTATGCTTGGTACCATAAGATTTGTCAAATGTTTTCCCTTTTTGAAGTTTATTGTGTATGTTGCCGAGCCTTCAGGAAAGTGTATGGCTATCAAATTTGGCGGTTGTGCATTCAATATGCGTTCAGAGGTGTACATTCGGTGTTCTTACGTGTCATTGCTTCTACTTCCACACATTTCTAACCTATGAAATAGTATATTATTCAACGAGTGAGAAAGTTGGCAATTATTCACGAAGATAAGATTTGCGCCACGAGTCGAAGACGAGTGGCGTAATTTATCTGAGTGAATAATGCCTTTCTTACGAGTTAAATACTATACTTTTTCTACTTGTATTCAATAATTACAGTAATAATAACATTATGCATAATGGTTTTATTTGTCATCAAACAATTGACAAAATTAGCAATGTACGTAAAATCCGGAGAAGTTAGAATTATATCGTCGTCACTGCTCATCATGATTGCACTACTGTCCATTTTTACGTAATTTTCACAAAACTGATTTCTTGTAATTTGTTTGATTGACATTAATGTTTGACAACTGAATTTATCACGATCCGAGATCTTGATTTTTGCTACACACATGTTTCCAAGGCAACCCTACAATGTGAGCTGAAGAGTAATGACAAACTCGGAATACGATTGGCTGACAACAGTTGAATAATGAAAACATATTGAATAATAGATAACTTTCTCAATTAAAAACGCATCAGTATTCTACCTATTATTTAATATGAGTAGAAAAATTCCTTTATTCGTTTTCGTTAACCCATACGTTGAAAGCTGGTCCCTAGGTAATAGCTGTGCGATGAATTAGTTAATGTACTAGTAGTATTGCAAAATTATGCCAGACGCCTTCGGTGGAAATGTAAATCTAATATAATCATTGCATTAAATTATCGCAGGGAAACCATACACATCAACACTAAAGCTTCCTTTTTCCATGACCTGAATTAACAATTTCACTACTAAACCTAGTTCCGCCGTACGTACACGTTACGATGCCTCTAAAAAACGGACAAATTTTGATCATCGCCGTACACGTGTTTGCGCTCCAATTAAACAATTCCTGTGTGTGTTTAAAGACAAAATCCGAATTTTCGTTTCGATCAATAACACCAAATCCGAAAGCTATGGCAGTTTCTAGAGAAAAACTCGAAAGCGTCGCAAAAAAAGAATCTCCAGATATCCCGGAGGGTAATATTGGTGTATTCGTGACCAACGCAACGTTTCCCTTAAAGACTGGTATCATGAAAGAGAATTGTCCTGCCGTTCTGTGTGTTATCCTTCATCGCAAAGGAAAAAGGTCTCGTGCAACATTTAACCGAGTATTTTACAAATTATGTCGACGCTGCAAAAAAGAATTTGAAAAATTGACGAAAGACGATGTGCAGAGAGAAAACGACATTTTAAATTATGCGTCAAGGAAGCTGGTTAAAAGAGCTACGGAAGTTGGAACAATGGAGCATTTGGTGGATCACACCGAACCGTAAGTAACTTTTTCATTGTTGCTGTTTGCTTGCTAAAAGTGATATAAATAATGCTGTAATTTTTACAAGGACAAGTTGCAGAGTAATTAGACTATTAGCGCTATAATGAATATTTAAAAACTTTTCATTTCTTGCAAAGGAAGTGAGTGTAATCAATTACGAAACAAAAAGCAAACGCCTGTTGCCAACATTTAATCAAGTTTTCAAATTAAGTTAGACAGATTATTAGCGATCTTCAATTAAATTTAACGAGCAGTAACGTTTTTATAAATCGCGAATTTAGTGTCTTATTAGTTTAGTCGATTTTTCAGTTTCACCGCGATTGGGTTCCTCGTATTTATACCTACACGTTGATTAATTGAATACGCAATGATACCCCATTTTCAATTTTGGCACTTTGACTGATTACACAGTTTAGGTCCATAAGAATTCAGACAGTAATAATTTCGTAATCGCGGCGTTTAAGTAAACATTAATTTACACAATAAAACACGGGGCACCCCTGAGGTACACCTATTTACTACACTTTTGGAGTGTTCAACCTACTATATTTTAATGAGGTTACACCCTGAGGTTGTTTTGTAATTTACACACCACTTGCACAGATGGTCTTTTGACCTAGAATGCGAAATGTGGATTTCCTAGTGGAAATTTATTACCCAAAGCTGCAAGCTTATTTCACTGAGGCTCTGAGATAAAATTAACTTGCTGCACTTTGCAATGCACTATGGAAATTGAACTACTATTCATTATTATGAAAATTGGCCTCGGTAAATTCGCACTCGAATGTTCGCCCCAGCAATATTCGCCACTGGACGATTCGTCCCGGAAAATTCACTCTAGGAAGATTCTCCAATTGTCTACTGAAAAGTATTCAGACTCCCGTTAAGAAATTAAATTTGAAAATTTGCATTCCAGCATAGTTTTTCATGATCTATGGAAAGAAAATATTATCATGATCGTTCCGTTTGGTTTTACGGGATGTGGAGAGCAACTTTTTTTATTTTAAATAGAACTTCTTATATTTTATTGCATGTTCGAAATCTGTATGAAAATCTACGTCGTTTGATACCACATTTTCCTATACCCAGCATCAATGGTTTTCGAGTTGTTCAAGATTCTTCAAAATTTTTCACGTTTGATTGCTGTTCTTCAGCGCCTTGTACCTATGGCTCCGTTGACTTGCATGTCAAACAGTCTGGCGTGATGCTACATGCAAATGGTTTAAATTTTGATCGCCCTTCTACAGGGTGTTGTAAATTCAGTGGTCAAGTTTAATAACTTCAAACCTTAAAATGTTAATTTTTTCAAATGAAACCTGCTTTATCTTTTGCACTTTCAAATGTCGAAATAAATTCTACATCGATCAATTATTACATTTCCATCTGCCATCCGTTATGGTTTTCGTTTTATTTAAGATTTTCTAAAATTGTGACCGTTATATGCATAATTTTCTTAGGAGACCTTGAAATAAACGCGTTAGTAGATGTCAGGACCATCCTTGGAAACATTACCTGGGGAAAATTACTGGTTTCAACTTGACGGAGCGCTCTCGCTCAGTCTACCTATGATGCTTATATGTCCTTAAACATTTTTGAATACAGGTGGACTGGACTTGACTTTTATGTGTGGGGTCTTATAAAAACAAAATTACACCAGCTTTAGATGAAATGAACTTGAGAGGCGACTACCAACGGAGTTAATCAGAGCACGCCGTTATGTATTTAAAAAAAAATCAGTGAGCACGTAGAACAAAACCCCTCAATTGATGTTTGTATTTTTTTATTTTGTCGCTTGTTATCGTGATCTGCTTCTCTTTTTGATTTCCTCTTTATTTAACTTTAATTTCATTAAAGTAAATATGATTTTTCATACGTAGTGATATAAACTGACATTATTAACCGATGATAAGTTAACTTGACCATTAATTTTATAACACCCTGTAGAAGTGAGATCAAAATTTAAATCATTCGCATGTAGCATCATGCCATTATTGTTGTTTTTAGAAGACTTTTTGAAATTCAAATCAACGGAGCCATAGAGAATAGGGCGCTAAAGAAAAGCAGTCAAACGTCAAAAATTTTGAAAAATCTTGAATAATTAGAAAACCCTTGATGCTGGGTAGATCATGAAAAACTATGTTGATGCAAATTTTCAGGTTTATATTATTAATAGGAGTCTTGAATACTTTTAGCTAACGGTTTGCGTGAAATTACCTGTACACTGTGTCCATGACAAGGGCCACTGTGCAATCAAAGGTCTATGAAGATAGCATTTAAAATCCCTGACAATTTTTTTGGTTTTTTAAATGAAAGAAAAGAACAAATTTTATGAGCTTTTTTTCTGAGGTTAATATTTGACCTAGAACAAAAACAGTGACACTCCTCCACAGCAACTTTTCATACTTTTTAAGGTGCTAATTTTCTATTCCGACATTTTACCTTTGCGGTACCATCATGACCTTCATTTTTTAAAACATAGCTCTGATATTCCGATACCATATTCTTAAAACCCTTTTCTGAATTTAAGGTTTATTTGCGATTTAGCCGAGCTTAACTAGGAACATATCTATTACGTTTTCTTAAATAAACAATAATCTGAGACGATTAACGGTTTATATCATTTACCTATTTTTTCAAAGTCTTTCAAAGGAATTACATTTTTTGGGGATTTCTTAACGATATCTTTTTAGACCTTTGATTGATCAGCTTTTCTCCAATTCAACCAAATTTGTATCTGTTACCGTTTCTAGAATGCCCATAGTGACCCTCCTCATCTCGGACACAGTGAATATACTCACTGGCACCAGCAACGGAGTAAAAGTGCCTTTACCGCTTAATTTTAGCGATCCTAAGGAAGATACAGTCCTTAATTATTAAAATGCGACACTTTTTTTGAGTTTTTGGTAGCAAATCCCTGAAGTTTCAAATAAATTCAGGTAATTTCGATAAAGCATCAATTTGTGCCATATTTTTGGTCCTCGTTATCAAAGTCTATAAAAGACAAATCATGAAAAAATTTAAAATTCGTCCCCGGGAAAATTTGACGACATTCTGTGATGAAAGTTGACTTTGTGCCATGACGGTCACAAGTTGAATATGGACCTTTATTTGTGAAGGAGTGTACTAGAGTAAAGGAACGACGCGCATTGATTTACAGAGCAAATTAAGAAAGTCCAGAAAATCCTCCTGCTGAAGGACCTTTATGGAAAAAATTAGCACTGGGAAACCATTCCCATTGTGCCTCCCATTTCTAAATTACTTTCCTTTCGAAAGTTCCGAAAAATATGATATATTAGAGGTTTTATTTAGCATAATAAGCCTAATAATAACAACTAGAATGCCGCAGCTAAAGCTCAACACCCACAGAGAGACGTTAACCTCATACATTTTTATGAGATTGAGGGAAAATTTGGCCAAATTATATATCTCACGTTCAGTCCAAACATGTTACAGATTAAACAACTCCAAACTATGCAGTTCGCGATCTTCTTTCTACAACGCACGATAATTTAAAAGTCAAACGCCCCTCTCCGCACCTCACTGCAGTCAGACCGGGTCGATTAAATATTTCATTTGTTTTCTTGTGCACTATGCGTAAACACATAAAGTGACTCGCTGCATTCCTCTTTTTTTCGTCAGGTACCTTTTTAAATGTAAGTAAGTATAACCTCCTATTTATTTAGACATGGGAAAATCGAAACGAAAACATCGACATCGAGACGATAAATTATCCCGTAAACACCATGTAAAACGTTTAGAAAAACTTGAATCGTACTATCGCCGACAATATTTCTCGCAGGCAAGGACAAACGAAATTACATCATCTTCACTTAGAACAAGGGCCAGCCGCTCTCCTATTGCTTCACTGGCACAAGAACGGAAACGTAGTCTTTAAACAGGTACCGCCCAACCCATCACATGAGGGAAACAGGGTCAAAGGACAGTACCCCCAGTTTGCATGCCAGAAGATCGGGAAAACTCACTAGAAGAACAAGGCAAGTACTAACTTGGCAGGCAGGCTATCCCTCTTTTATGAGAAGTGGCAAGCTTTGACATCGAATAAGGTGATTCTTAAATGGGTTAAGGGATACCCTTTACCGTTGATTAGTACACCTGTACAATTTGTACCGCCAAAACTGTTTCGTTTATCTTCAGGAGAACGGTCTCTAATGGATGGGAAATAACCAACTTATTCAAATCGGGCGCTATTATAGTAAAGTGTAAATCACTTATGGACTTATTTCTCTCGAACGTTTTTCACAGACCAAGTCTCACGGTAAAAAACGGTTTATCCGACATTCTTCTTCCCCAAGGCAGTCAAGTTTAGATTTTATACGCTTTCAAAAATGGTTTGTGTATCCACTTGTGACAAGATAGTGCCGTTTATTTGGTGTATAAATCGAACTAAACCTAAAATTTTATTGTGTACTATACATTCACTGTTAATATACATGTTAAACCAAGCGTATTTCAATTTAGTAAACGAAGATGTTAACATAACCTCTTAGTCTTACAGAAATTAGCTGTTATTTCAAATTTTTCAGTTTCACCAACCTAATAATGACGAAATATAAGTAACATAACCTCAGATTTCGACGAAATGAAGTGGTTTACTGATAGTGTACTTTTAATTAAGATTGTGGAAAATTTGGGGCCTCCCTCGCAAATGTTTCTGTTAAAAACGCTTAATTGAGGTGTCACTCTGTACATATACAGTGATTTTTATCTTAAGGGTACCAAAGCCACACTACGAAACCCAATAAGGCTCGCCTGAAAGATGTGTAAAAGATCTTCCAGCCAAGAGATCAAACAGATTTTGGTTGTTCTTGGTCAGGACTTTTTCATCTAAATAATAATCCAGGTATTGATAATGAAACTTCCAATTATATCTCGAGAAAGGATGTATAGTCAAATAGACATTTCTCCTGCGGGCTTTCCTCGGCACACGTTGCTTCGCATTATACTGTTGATGTGAGGAGAATTTCTTGAGCAGTATCCTCCCACCTAGGATACTAATCCCATTCCTTTCACTACTATCCCGAATCTGACCATTCCGTAGATTTCATTTTTGCGGCCAAGGTGACCTTGGGAAGTCCTATAGTTGCACGTCTCTAATGTTCTCATAGTAAGAATGTCAAAGAAAATGTTACCATTTTTTAGCGTTATGTTCCAGCTTGGGACTTTCTCCGCGGCCTTAACCACTTCTACAATTTTCAAGATATTTTGTTCTTTCTTTTTAAATTCGGTAGCTTATAGCTCTTGCACTACAACCTGACGATTTCTTCTTTATGGAGATATTTTTTTGAAATTTAACCAAATATTCTTCTAGTAAATGCAAACGTATCGCATATTTTAAACAATACTATGTTTCGTATTAGGAATATTTGTGTTATAATTTATATTGCTTTGTACGCGTAAATAGTCCGTTACGTGACCTTTCGAGAAGTACTGATCAATTCATGGAAAATGCGCTAAAGTTGACGAAAACCTTTTTTTCATTTTTGTAATACATACTCGCGTTTGCAGAAAAGTGTTGGAGAATGCACTTTTTTAGTAACAGAGTTGGAAAACCAAAGTAAGTAATTCACTACGAAAACGAAAATTTTTTCAATGCGCTAAATTTCTGTAATAGTTAGCTACATAAAAGTCAGGAAATTGATACATTACTGGCGAGGTCAGGTAATATCATTTTCATTTTAGTGACGAGTTTTGTATTAAACTTTACCCGAAATCGTATTTTAATATAAAATTTCTATTTTTATATAGAACTTTTGATTAATGTCATGGAAAAACTTTCTGACAGAAAGTAGGGACGAACATGAAGATTTCAGGACGATTTTGAGTGAAAATGAGATTCCAAATTACATTTTACTACTAAATATACTGCACAGTAACCTCCTATTTGCAAATGCTGAAAAGTAAGACAGTTGCTCACTAGAAACAAACATTGTAACAAAACGATAACAGTAAGAACATCATTCGCCTTGCAGAAGTTACCAATTAGTGGGAGCTTATAACCTTTCAATGTAAAAAGAACTTTTTGTTGCAGGTCGAATGAACCGGAAATTACAACGCGCAACACGAGTCTCACAACAACACGAAGTTCAATTTTAGAGTTTCCAGACGCTCCACCTGGAAATCTCATAAAAGTTCTAGATTTGAAGCTGGAAGAGGGATATTTTCGAGTTTTTTCTGACTTAATAGGATATTTACAACCCGCTTCGTTTCCTGTAGGTAAGTAGAAGCTTATTACTTATGTAGTTGCTTTGCGGAACGTTTTCTCAATACGAATACATAAACGTGTTTTGCTAAAAATTGAATAAGTATGGAAATCTGAACAAATATTACATTATTGTAACGTGATTTATAAATTCGGGTTCGATTTATATCAATATTTATTAAACAAAACTAAACACTATAAAAACTGTACAATTTATATCGACCATTTATATTACACACTTCGCAATTTATATCAGATTTTCGCGCTCAATGTTTCGTCCGTACTTGATCTCGTTCGATAGTAAACTCCCTGCGATGTTCGGTCCGCAACCATTTATACACGCAAGTAATGTAAGTCCAGAACACTCGCGTAATTACCGGATAGTCTCGAATATTCCTATACAAATCCCACTATCGCGCGCGTAGAAAATTCCAGAGCGCCAAAGGCGACGTCATGTCTGGAGCGTTTCCGTTACACTGCCCCCTTCTTAATTCTGGACGTCTCGTTCAGAAACTGCGTTAGTATTACTTTTTAATGCCTCGTGTCGGAATCTGCAGTCAGAGCCTGCTCGACAAACACCTTTCTTAAAAAAGTAACAGTCCACAGTTTTGCGGAGGGTCGTCCCCTGTGGGTTGAAGCAGCAAACTGTAATTCGAACGCTAGTGTTTCCAAAAATCACTTCGATCATGGTTCGCACTATCTTCCAGTCCAACCCATCTAAACCACATCCAATCTTCGGGATCGCCAAGCTATTTATGTCATAGTATGCCATGAGTTTCTTTAAGCTTTTTAAAGCAGACCAGAGGTTTTCATAGGTGGGTTTGCCTTCTGACGTTTTCTTTGAAACCAAGTAGAACAAAGAGCGTTGACTATCTTCCAAGCGCAGTACTTTACCCACTCGTGGTCTTTGCTTTATCAACTCGTCTATTCTTCCAAATCTTTTCCGGAATACGGAAGCTATACCTCTACCCATGCGAAGGTCTTCGGCGACACAATGGGCGATGGAAACGTTAACCGGAAGCTCAAAAATATTTTGACAAATTTCCTGAGTAACGCCAAATCGAGCTTTCTTCCGCTGGGCGTAATTTGACATAAAATCGTTAAAGTTTGGCTCGATCCCAAAGCTGCGTTCCTCTTCTCGAATACCTCTAACTTCTTCGTTGTTGTTGGATCCGGCATATCGTGCGAGTCGATTAATGTGGACAACTTTCGGTTTCCGGTGGTTCATTCTGATACGATATATCACGTCATTTATTTTCTTGATCACCTCATACGGACCTTCCCATTGTCTTTGTAGCTTGGGAGAAAGACCTCTTCGTCTCTGTGGATTGTGCAGCCATACCAGATCTCCAGCTTCAAAAGTTTCATTGGCCGAGCGGAGGTTGTATTGATTTTTCATGCGATCGCTGGCAATCTGAATATGACTTCTAGCCAAGTCGTGAATATCGTTCATCTTCGCCTTTAGTTGGTCAACTTAATTTTCACCTGCGACATATTCTTCATGGGGTTTACGCCCAAACTCGAGGTCACATGGAAGGCGTAGTTCACGACCCAACATAAGGCAGGCAGGAGTCTGACCCGTGGTCTCGTTAACGGCTGATCGATATGCCATAAGGAACAGGTGGAGGTACTGGTCCCAATTTTTCTGATGTTCTGCCACGACTTTTGAAAGATATTTACCCATCGTTCGATTCATTCTCTCAACCATTCCATCTGACTGAGGATGCAAAGGTGTTGTTCTGGTTTTATTGGCTCCTACCAATCGCCAAACATCTTGGAACAAAGTCGATTCAAAGTTCCTTCCTTGGTCTGAATGAATTTCTATAGGAACACCAAAACGTGTAAAGAACTCCTTTACCAACACTTCTGCAACTGTTGCTGCCTCTTGGTTTGGAATAGCGTAAGCTTCAGTCCACTTTGTGAAATAATCCATAGCGACTAGGATATATTTATTTCCGCCATCTGTCTCGGGAAACGGTCCTGCGATATCGATAGCAACTCGTTCCATCGGACTACCAACGTTATACTGCCTCATGGGTGCCTTCTTCTTGGAAACTGGTCCGTTTCCAGTAGCACATAACTCACATTTTCGACACCATCGGCGGATATCTTCTTTACGGTTGACCCAATAGAACCGCTCACGTACCCTTTGCAACGTTTTCGTAATACCAAAGTGTCCTCCGGAAGCGGCGTCATGCAATTTTCGCAATACTTCCGACACTTTGCTGCTAGGTACTACTAATTGCAGCGTCGATTCGGTGCCATCTTCACTTTCAAGGGTCCTATACAACAGGTTGTCTTTCAGAGTCAGGCTATTCCATTGGCCCCAATAACTCTTTACTTCAGGACTTGTGGCACTAATGTCTTGCCAGTCTGGTTTTTGTCCGTGGCGCATCCAATTCAGAACAGATTTTATACTTGGGTCGTTTTCTTGGGCCGTTTTGATTTCGCTGGGCTTCCACTCCTCACTCTCTACAGTTGTTCGTCGCAGATGGCCAATCTTGTCTTCTATTTTAGAACAATGTGTGCAGTTGTCCTTGCACGGTCTTCTTGACAAAGGGTCTGCATTATTTTGAACTTTTCCAGACGACGTAATGTTTACAGTGAAGATCGGGGCTTTGTTTCTGCAGGTCGACGATAGCCCTTTCCTGTCGACCTTTCTTAGTTTTCCGACTGCTGCAATGGTTTTTGGCAGTTGCGGCGAACGTCTCCAATCTCGCCGTGGTTCACGTTTCTTTGCCAGTGACTGTATTGCTTTATTGATCTTTTCTTCCACTACTTTACTGACCTTTTCTACCACTACTTTACTGACCTTTTTTTCAAAACTTTCAGAGCCACCTTCCTCTTCGATGGTTCTTACCCGGCTGTCACTGCGAGGTTCCACCATACGTACTCGCGCACTTCCATGACTAGCTTTCTTGGCGGCTTCGAATTCTAACGCATGGGCCAAAGCTTTCTCAATTTTGTCGTGCCTAGCCAGTCTCAAAGCCTGCTGGGCATCTCCATCACGAACGGCATCGATAAATGTCTGTACAGCCAGTTGATCAAGAAAGCTCTCCGGTGCCGTAGGGTATGCCAATCGAATCAGTCTAGCGATGTCCGCTTCAAGTTCCTGCAAACTTTCTCCAGGTTTCTGCATTCGGTTCTTGACTTGGGCATAGTAAACTTGCTGAAGGTGTTTATCGCCATATCGCATTTCGAGTCGCACTACTATTTGTTGGAAGTTCTGTTGATCCTCGGGGATGGTCCGCAACACATCCAGAGCATCTCCTCTCAGAGCAAGAATCAGGGCTGTAGTTTTGTCTTGAAGAGTCCATTTATTTGCCGCAGCCGCTGCTTCAAACTGTCGAACGTACGTGTACGCTCTTTCGTAGTCAGTCGCAAGAATTGCTCGCGCAGCTCTTCATACTTGTGCTCAATCTCAACGAATGTTGCTTTAAATGTTTTGAAAACTTCCGTAATTCTATCTTCAACTTTTTCTTCAATTGATTTAGAGACTTCTTCGATAATCTTTCTAGAATTTTCCTCCATCTTTTCGAACTTCTCGTCCATTTTTCTAGAATTTTCCTCAATCTTCTCGAACTTCTCTTAAATATTTCTAGAATTTTCTTCATTAATCTTTCTAGAATTTTCTTCCATTTTCTCGAACTTCTCTTCAAAATTTCTAGAATTTTCTTCCAACTTCTCTTGGTTGCTTTTTATTTCTTGTTGCAACACCTGTTGGCCATTTTGGATTTGCTGGAGCAAATTGAGCATCGTTTCTTCCATTTTAGCGGCAGCAGATCTTGTTACAGGCATACACAAGCACAAGCACCTAATTTAATCTTACTTTTAATTAATTTAATTAATCCCACTTCTGACACCAATGTAACGTGATTTATAAATTCGGGTTCGATTTATATCAATATTTATTAAACAAAACTAAACACTATAAAAACTGTACAATTTATATCGACCATTTATATCACAGACTTCGCAATTTATATCAGATTTTCGCGCTCAATGTTTCGTCCGTACTCGATCTCGTTCGATAGTAAACTCCCTGCGATGTTCGGTCCGCAACCATTTATACACGCAAGCAATGTAAGTCCAGAACACTCGCGTAATTACCGGATAGTCTCGAATATTCCTATACAAATCCCACTATCGCGCGCGTAGAAAATTCCAGAGCGCCAAAGGCGACGTCATGTCTGGAGCGTTTCCGTTACATTATGCTTTCCGCAACAAGTCGTCTCGCATCAAGTAAATTCAAAAGCAGGGGGTTTCTTGGTTCCCCCTTTAATAATCTGCTGGCTTGTCCGATTGTCGATTATCGATTGTGTACGACATCATAGACACAAAATTATAAGAGTATACCTGTAGAGGGTGACAAAATTTGCAAACCGCCAACAACGATAATATTTCATATTTTTAATATTATTTATTTTATTTATTTTTAATAATTTATACCTTGAACAGTATATTATCCAGAAAATATGAAGAATTGACCCTGAATTTGGTACCTATATTTCTGAAAAAGAACAACATTTGTTTTCTAAAAAAGAGATCGTTAATTACTCTTTATATTCTGCAAATGAATAACTGATAAATTTTTTTATAATTTGAGGTTATTCAATTCTTCTCAAAAAAGTGTCTGTTTGGGAAGATGTAAACAGATTTTCGATAACCTCATAAGCAAAGAAGCTATAATATTTTGTGAAAACAGCTGTAGGTCTGTTTGTCAGTTTGATTTTCAACATCGAGTTTATTTCAAGAACATACATTTATTTATGTATTTTTGGAAAAACGACGTCTATTTCATCTTAGTTCCGAAGCTAATGCATCCTTAATGAAACAGTGAAGGAGTCCAAATTTGCTGTACCTACCTAATTGGGTACAATGAAATGTAATTGATTGAAGTACGTGAGCTTTATTAATTTACGTCTTGCTTCAGTGGCGTATTTACTTTTATTAGCAATTGCACTTTACTATAAACTGAGCTTGATAGAAAAGTTCTATAATGAAGATAAGACAA